CTATGGCCACTTAATTGCTAAAGCTAAATCACTGAAAGTATCTCCATATCCAATCTCTAGAAGGCACTACGAGTGAGCCCAATGTTGCTAGTGAGTGTCTTTAAGAGGGAGGTGTCGGGTGCGTTGGGGGTCGGTGCGGGGAGTGCTACTCGAAGAAATTTGTTTATATTCGACATACTCTTTAACTGCTCATAAGGTTGATAGAACAATGAACGCCACTTTCTAGGACAACGGAAAGACCAAAGGTCAAGATATGTATGGCATGTCAATTACTTTCTTCCCGCTGTTTGTTCCCAGAAGTCATCGGAACAAAGTCTTTCCGTGGGCATGAGATTCGGGGAAATTGGTATCCGTTTGATGTATACAATGGACAATGAACACTATACTTGATACATTAAAGAATTCCAACGACAAGTAATGAACAGACCGAATCCAGTCCCGCAAATAAAGCCATTGTTAAGTTATTACGGATAAAGAAGCTCTGCATTGACTTTTTCTGCATGGCTTAAAACGGGAGTGTCATCTTGTTCTTCTATTTCTACCAGTGTTTGACGTGGTCTTGAAGCTAGATCATCGGAACAAAAGGGCACTGCGGGAAATAAAATAGTAAAAAAAGGGGATAAAAGGTTAATAGCATCTCCAGTCATATATATACTCGGCTATTTAAACTTTCGGACGGGAGATAGTCAGCTAAAGGTATACTAAATCTGCCAATCTTCAAACCTCATTCTTGATTGTAGATATCAATTATTATTAGCGCAATCTTCCATCCCGGGCACTGTACATCAAACCACCACATTCAGTCTAAGCAGTACCAGTAATCAACCATTGCTCCTCTTCCCACATCAAACAACAACAAAAACACCACCACCCAGCATGTGCACCTTCGGATTCTCCCACATGGAATGTGGGTGCAAAGTGCCAATCGAAGGTACCGGAAAACAGTGCGACTATGTCAGATCCAGGGGCAAGTACACGTACTGCGAGGAATTCATGTGGGTGGAGAACCGTCCAAAGTCAAAGAGTTCTCCCTATCTCTGCGCTAAGCACTTCCGTTAGAAGGTTGCATGAGGTGCCTCGCCGGTCACAGGTCCCTGGTAGACTTTGAGGTGTAATCGAAGCGTTGAGCGCTTCTTGGTTGATACGTACGAGTTGAATACATACCTTAATAGCGATCCAGTGTTGTCTTTGTTCGTGAATGTGAGCTGAAAATAGTCCCTTTTCATCGCCGTCTTTTCTATGTCCGGCCATTGGGATCATGCCATCATGTTATCCCTCCCTACCCACATCCCTCAAGCCAACCTCCCCATACATCCCCTGCCGCAAAGTAACCTTGATCCCCCTCGCTGCTTGATTTTTCAATCCCACTCTTTCCGCTTGACAAATCTTCGCCTTGCTCTCCTGGTCAAGCCCATGTGCAATCGCCGCCAAAGCATCTTCCTTCCATGCCTCCACGCCATTCCTGCGCGTTTGCCAAATCGTGAGCCCAAGGTAAAGCGCACTCGCCACCATGACCGCCACAGGAACGGTGACAAAAGGCCAGCGGATGCGGAAACGGAATACCCACTTTGTCGTGGAGCTCTCTCTTACCCATACCCCTTCGTTCTCGCGGATCCAGGCTGTCATGCTCCGGGCGACGTTATCGAAGGTGGTGCTGAGGTTGCTGGATTTGGCGATAGCTCCGGCGACGGGGTTGCCATTACCAGCATCGGCCGTAGCCGGATACATCAGTGGCTCGGGGGCAAGGACGTGAGTGAACCAGTCAATTGTGGAGGCTAGGGTTATTTGGGTGATGTTGAAGTAGGGGAGGTGGTTAGATACCGCAGTGACACTAGGGTCATGGTCCCGGGGGTCGAGATTGGGGTGTGTAGCCAGGAGTAAATCAGAACGTGAAAAATCCCATAGCTTTCCGCGTGGTTCTGAGCCAACTGGACTGCGTAGTGTGTTGTTGAAGGGATGCATCCAATTTTCTCTTTGTTCCTTTGTGGTGATGTTGTTTCCCAGAACATCGTCTTGGGGCATTAGCGACGGATGTGCCCACGAGTCCCACGAGTCAAGGATAGATTCATGGAGTATTCCCTTGCTGACACTCGCCTCGTATCGGTTGACGCAGAAGGATAACCCGCATTCTATGGCGAGTGGAAACGTTGTATTCCAGGGCAAGAGGTTGTTGACAAATTCGGGGCTTGACTGAATGATTCTGAAAACAACGAAGGTGGTACTGAAATCGGCAAAGGATATCGACTCGGATCGATTTGCTACTACTTTGACGATGGTTTGGTTTGGTGGTAGACCCGTAGCCGCAGGTGGTTGACTCGTATCTCCATATGCTCGCCGTACTTTGCCATCCCCTGGAAGAGCTGTGTTGTATGCACTTTCTGGCTGTTTGACGCCATCAAAGTTGAGAATTTCCAAATCGTAGGAAAGTTTGTATCGTGTATATGTGGTCCCTGCCTCATATCCTTGCTCCTTGCGAATATGATCTGACACATTGATGCAACGGCTGCAAATTGCCAATGAGTCAAAAGTCTGGAAGGTACAGTTACCAGTCTCACAAGAGAAGGATGACTGGTAAGGGTCTGTCAAAGCTGAAGACTTATTGACGAATCCATCGTAGACGGCAAGCGTCAAGCCAAAGTCCGCTGTCAGCGAACTTTCTTGGAGGACCACCGTGTCGAGTCCCATCGAGCCATTCTTGCTTGTCAAAGTAATCTGCGTTCCCGTCGTCTGCTCTTCGCCTACGCAAATCCTGCTTGACGCCCGGATCCTGGCTCTCGAGCTCCCTGTGAATAAAAGCTCGTCCCCAGAGGTGTCGACTATAGCTTGGACGAAGGGGTCGTATCCGAACATGACAACCGTTATTATAGCGCCGAGAGAGGCGAGGTGTCTATCGAGAAAGTTTGTTAACTTCTGAGGAACAAGTGAATGGACTGGATGGTCCTATTATTCCCACACGAATAACACAAACTTACCGGTACTTGAGCTTCCAGAGAAGCTGTAAGCTTCCCAGAGGCCCTCGACTCGCCTCATCAAAGGTTCTAAAGACTAGAACGTTGTCTTCTCTTTGAGAGAACCAATTCCACTTTGCTTGCCCAAGACAAGGCGTAATGGCGAAGGCAAGGGATGTGCGAGAAATCTGTGCCAGTGTAGATATGATTGTGCCCAGTGAAAAGTAGAGGGGCCACGACTCCAAAGGTTTGCCGTCAAAGAAGTAGAGAATTCCAAGTGTTGATAACAGGGAGAGACAGCTGAGCGTCATTCCTGCCAGCTCCCAGAACCAGGAGGACCCCCATCGCTGCCATGGGCTATACTGGGACAGTCGCGTGCTGCTGTGCAAAACCCTCCGAGGAATAACTTTTTGCGGTATGATACAGTCATGGTGAGCTTCGACTTGGCCAAGTGGAAGACGGTCCTGTATGGGGGATTCTGGTGACAGCGGAGTAGAGTCGGATGGTTCTTGTTCCTGGTTGACCGGTAAACAAACCGTAGAGCATGCTGATATCTCCGAGAAGGAATTTCTGCCATCGGCCAAAAATGATGTGGAGGTGTTGGCATCCATCGTGTGCAATTGGGACTGTCGCTTCTGCTAGGTTATTACTACAGAGGTCAGGAGAAGGTGCAGGCAAGATTGCGGGAAGAGGAAGTGCAGGTGCAAATGTGATTAAGGACGCAGAAGTCCGAGGCCGATCAAGTTGTAGCAGGCTACGCACACCATCTTCGGGGATGAACCGTTGTGAAAGGTCAGAACTAAGCCACACTGATCCAGACTGTAACAACAACCTAACTCAAAAGTGATCTACTCTGGTCTCGACTGTGCTTCATATCACTTCTGTACCCCAGCCTTGTGCTACCCAACACAACACATGAATCAAATCGCCATAATACCCATGTTCCACAGGTCAAGCAGCGGATCAGCTCGTTGGCTGAAGGGATAGATGGCCGTGTACAGCCACAAGACATGTCACCGATGTTGGACAATTACCGAGAACTGATGATAGTCCTCTAGGATGAATAGTATTTTGCCCGATCTGATCCGGAGCCATTCTCCCCCTAACCTCTCCAAGCTCAGGAATTCCAATTCCCCACCCCTAGCAACTCTCGACTGCGGGCCCCGGTGGAGTATAACTCTTGGGCACAGGATAGTAGATATTGATCATGATGCCCGGGTCCGTCGCCTGAAACGCGCCCGGAAACGAAACGTGGTTCCGAGGGCTGAAGCTTCCGCTGCCTCCGCTGACCGAGATCTGCGCACACGACACGTAGAATTGGGCGCCGCCGGCGGAGCTGGCCGAGTGCAGACCGATGTGCTCGGCGCGGAGGAGGTAGTCGCCGTTCTGGAGGCATTGGGGGATGTTGACGCCGATTGACTTTTGACCTATGCGTTGGGGGGGCGTTAGTTGACAAGGTCAAGAAACTTTGGCAATGGTAAAAGAAAAGACATACCTTGAGAAGGCCAGGTGATGCTCCCTGAAATAGTCGGATAATCCTGGTCAATCTTGCTCCAAACCTTGCCCTTCCCATCCCACGTCGCGGCCGTCTGACCGGCAGGAACCTTTGCAATGTAGACGGCCATGGGTCCCGGGTGAGAGATGGACGCCTTGGTGTTGTAGTTGAGAGCATGGCCGGCGGTCACGTTGAGGATACCGGGAGCTCCTTTGCCGGCGTCGCGTTCATAGCATCGGATCGCATCGGTGCTGATGCTGGGACTGGTCCGTTACTTTGGAAGTTGGCGGTTGTTCGGACGTATTGCCAGTCGGCCGAGTTACCAACGCTTGGGAAGGTGTCTGTTTGACAGGAAAGTCAGTTTATGGAATGGTAGAAGCAACTTGAAACATTAGAACCAAACAAACATGGAACAAAATGGAGAGGAGATGGGATCAAGAAAAGAATCCAAGTCGACAAGACCAAAACAAACCTCTGTGCGCAACCAACGCCGATAGAAAAAAAAAAGGAAAAAGAGGGAAAAAAGGAAAAAAAAAGAAAGCAAAAGGAAGGCATCTTGCCCACAGCCAGAATCGAACTGACGACCTCATCATATCTTCATCTGTAGATACTAGTGATGCGCTCTACCACTGAGCCATGCGGGCATCGATGTTTGGGAGCCCTCTTATGTGTCCTTATATCCCTCAAAGCCCCACTCAGATATCCAGGGTGATCCAGCACCACGGACTCCCCCCATTTGAACTTCCTTCCTTTCATGTTGCCATTGGCCGGTAAAACGTTACATGAAAGTTGAGTAGCGGTAAAAAGAAATAAGAGAATAAGTTCAGCATACTCACAATGTCCCTCAGCAATAGCCGAGACAAGCAACACTAGAACAGTGCTCAGCTTCATTTTGTTTTCGCGCCTCTCGTTTGTACCGTTCAGTGATGTAAGTTCTTGTTGTCGGTCCGGAATTCTGATGAAACTCCTGGTTTTGTCCGCTAGTCAAATCGAACTCGAAAGCCAAACGGAAAGAAAGAAGCCCGTTCTCCTGATGAACTTGGTGACGCCGCAAATGAGAAGCTTCCTGGAAATTGCCTGGTCACTCAAAGCACCCAGGGGAAGGCCATCGGGTTGGTTTATATATCTCTGCGCAATCTACCCTCCCGATACCCTGACTGGACCTCGTTCAAGACCCTTTTCGGCAGTTCCATGGTATAACCGGGCATCCAGCATGAATCAGTGCCAAGGATGTGGTATCTCTTTGCTTCCATGCCAGCGGTTAAAGACAGGATGGCCAGGCACTGACCAGTGGCCACCGGGTAAAGGGCACACCATCGCCAGCCCGGAAGGACCCAGTTGGGAAAACGGCTGGATATGGGGAGCATGTAACGCCATGCGACTCCCGAGATTGAAATTGGTAGTGATGTATAGTGCCGAAGTGTTCCTGATGATCTGGGGTAGATATGAAGCAGGCCATATCATCTCTTCATTTTGTGGGGTGAATATATGAAGCCTTGGCCTTTGAGCCCATTTATCATCACAAGGAGTTTGAAACTGGGCGGCACTTGCGTATGGAGGGGCTCGGGTTTGTGTCGGCACTGCTTTACCGGGTTGTGTGAGATGAAAAGGGTGATGGTGATATTGATGGATCCAGCTAACGAAGGTCAGGGGAAATGGGGATTCTGGGACGTAACAGTCTAAGCGACAAACGCCCAGAATCTTCTCACAGGTTGTGACACATGATACAACCATCCAGGCAAATATTGCAGAACAGAACTAGAATTCGACGGCTGGCCATGGAACAGAGTGTGGTCTCTTTCAAAGAAGTTGGCGCTGCTTGCGATGTTCCTGAAGAAAGGCTGAAGCAGATGTAAAGCCACACTCCACAGTCCAATCCATCTGTCCAAAACTGAGGGAGCTGTGTGATGAACAATGCCCGGAGCTCGGAAGTCAGATCCCTAGTAACAAAGAAGCTTTCGAAAGATATCAGAAGAATGGGATTGTTCTCACGGACTCGGATGCCTTCCGCGGGCGAGATTCATAAGGTAAGAACCCGCAGCTTACTCCATCTGTTCAACCCGCGCAAGCAATCGATCGACCCATGACCGGGCTGGCGACGAACAAAGCTCGGAACTCGGAAGCCAGATCCCCAACAAAGAACTATCCGAGAGAGACCCAGAATAATAGGATTGTACCCAACTGACTCGCTCGGATGTCTTCCCCCGTCCCCAAGAGATCCTCATCAGCAAAAGAACTAAGAGACTCCGTAAAAGAGGTACCCAAGGGAATGGATCGGAAGTCTTCCGAGACAGATAGGTCAAGCAACAGGAAGGGCTCGTGAAATCCAACTTTAGTTGAAAAAAAATCAACAGGAAATTTAGAGAAAGTGTTCACATTTAAGGCTGTGATGGACCTTCCGAATCATGTATATATACCTATGGTCGTCGGTCCCTGCGATGTTGTTAGTCTCGAAGCTCATCATTACCATCAGCCACTTCGGACAATAACACACTATCCTTACTAGCTACTCGAAGCAATACACCAAGGTAGCCATCCAACTCGACAGCAACCCCTTTTCACAAACCAAAACACTCTTCCAAAATGTGCGTCATTAATATTATCCACTTCTCCCACCACGACCTCCGCGGCGACAGCTCCCCCAGCTGCAACTGCAATCTCTTCACCCCCTCCAACCCCCACTTCAACAAGATCAACCTCCCTTCCCGACTAACAGAAACCGAGTTCATGTCTCAACGTCAACCGCCACACGAATTCGCCCTCTGCCCCACGCACCTCAACAGCTGTTGCGTGGTCTACAAGCAAACGACGCCCTGCCCTCTGTGGAAGTTCCACTCCAGGGATGATGTAGGTGGTGTGAACGCAGCTGGATGTCCCAACCTGTTGGTAACTCGCGAATATCATCCGTTGAGTATGATTCTCTCCGACTCCGAGTTGGGTACCTCTAGTAACGAGAACGAAATCGAAATCGACATCGACGAAACCAGTGAGTCCTCCACGTCCTTCGTCGTGCCGCGACACTCCCAGACCGTATCGCAAGCCAGAATCTCACTTCTTTCCACCGCGGACGAGATTCACAAGCAGAAGTTGACCATGGACAGGAACATCGTCGAAGCATCCGAGCTTATGGAACTATTATTCCTAGAACTCGCTGAGGCCTGCGCGTTGCTCCAACATAAGCACCAGCCGGCGGCGAAGAGGCAGGCTTTCTTCTTGCGCGAGTTTGAGACACCCCTCAACCAGTGTGCTGAGTTGTGTGAAAAGATTCGGGAAGCGGATGAGGCGATCAGTGAGCTTTTCAAAGTCTTTTTGCAAAGAAGGAAGGGTATGGCTGATCTTGTTGTAGCTCTTGAGAAGAAGAATAAGGTCACCTCTACGGTTCAGGAGTTTGCTGGTTGTGATGTTTATCCTCTCGGTAAGGCGAGACAGATTCTGAGGGAGCTGTCGGTGGCAAATGTAAGGGAGGTTTGTGAGGGACCGGTTAGGAGGGGGAGGGAGTTGAGAGAGGAGATGGTGCGGTTGTTGGAGGGTGTGGAAACGTTCATGCAGCCAGTCTGTTGAAGGTAGAGGTATAGATGGAAGTGAGGATGAGCGGGTGATAGAGAGAATGGTTGGGATACACTTAAGACTGATGTAAGCATTTTAGAGCATGATACAATGGAACTTGAAACATAAGAACTTGCAAGCAATGGAGAAAGTGACTCGTGACCGCGTACCTGTGAGGCCAAAGCAAGCATTGCCATGAAAGCATAAAGCGGAATAAAGAAATTTGTTAACGAACTTACATAAGAAGCCGACGGTACCGTAGTAGGGATTGACTTACGGAGTGTCTTCACCATAAAGTCTAGTACACTACCACCAAACAGGATGTAACAAGGGACATGGCGCGCGTCTAGTGCCAAGCATGCGAGAAGATGTTATCCAGTTCAATGTACCACGGGATAATCGTCGTGTTATTGGCTTTTGACAGACGGAAAAATTACTTCCCAGGTATCTTGCGTCGCATCGGCCGGTTAAAGTACCGAAGATCCTGAATCGGGTGGGTAGTGTCCGGTTCCGAGCCTTCACCATCCCCAACAAAGTCGGAACCGGCGGCTACGCCTACGCTCCTCTGGACCCCTCGCCCATCGGGATCTCCTTCGAATTTTTCGCCTTCCCGTCTTACTTCACCAACGTGACCGCCACGCAACAATGCCTGAGCAACTGGAAGTCCTTGACGGGCGTCTGGCCGCCCATCCGCATCGGCGGCACGACGCAGGACCGAGCGCAATATGACTCCAAGACGTCAGCCTACGTCGTGTACTCGGTGGCGGACGCCAAGGACGCTCCGTCCGTGTTGACGTTTGGCCCGAAATTCATGACGCTGGCGGGGACGTATGGAGGGAGTGTGGTGGTGGGGTTGAATAGGGGGAAAAACAACATTGATAATACGATTGCTGCGGCCAAGGTTGCGGTTTCTGAAGTGAAAAATTTGTTGGCGATTGAGCTGGGGAATGAACCTGAATGTGAGAGCAGCTTCCTTTGATGTTGAAGATGATGAATGGCCGTGTTGTGTTGACAAAGGGGTTATGGTTTGCAAACAGACTGGGTCAAAGACGGACAACCGATCACGTCCGGCGTCAACTGGACTCCGGCCACGGATGCCGCATCGCAGAATGACTGGAACATTCGAGTCGGAAGCGCGGTTGGCAAAACCAACATCATTCAGGCTGGAAATTGGAATGACGCGCCGCCCAAATGGGGTGCTGCGCAGTTGATAGCGACGGAAAACGCAACGGTAAAGCTTTACGTTCGGCACTATGCTCACCACAACTACCCCGGTGGAACCATTCAAAGTCTTATGACGCATTCGACCATCTCGATTAAGATCCACACATTTGACACCGACATCGCGGCAGCTCAAGCAATCGGGAAGGAGTACGTCTTTGGCGAGACGAACTCGGGTATGTAGCGCGCGCACCTTTTCCCTAAAGAGAGCTTTGTCAACTGATTCCTCTTCCAGTATCCGGCGGCGGAGCAGCCGGAGTCTCCCCGACATTTGGGGCAGGGCTATGGACCATGGACTACGCGCTCCGTGCTACTTATAGCAACGTGTCGAGGACGTACTTCCATCACGGAACCGTCGGCAACTGCCAGTACTGCTTCTGGGGCCGATACAGCATGGGGGCTCCGTACTATGGGGCATACGCAGCGGTAGCATTTATGGCCGGCGCGAGCCACCTGACGGCCTTGGATAGCGGTTCAACCAACTACGCGGCCTATGCCACTTTCGATTCGAAGGGGCTTCCCCTACGAGTGCTGTTGTATAATTCGGACTATTACGCCGGCTGCCGTACGAGGACTACCCAGTCCTTTACCTTGACCGGCTTAACCTCGGCGACGGTCAGGGCGAAAAGGTTGACAGCAGCAAGTGCGACGTCCAGAGTGGATCAAGGAAGTCCCCCATCGTTTGGAGGGCAGCAGTTTGGCAATTGATCTTGTGCCATAAGCGGGACCGAGACGTTTGAGACTACATCCGTTTCTGGTGGTCAGGCTAGTTTTTCGGTCAAGGCAACCGAAGCACTTTTGGTGTATTTGCAGTGATGCGAAGTTAGATCGAGTTGTATCGAGAATCCTAAACAAAGGGGGCAATGAGAGATCAAAG